CCCCCCGCCGTATCGCCGCGACACCAGCTCCGCCCTCCCAAATTGAAAATGTTTTGAGCTATTTCAAAATGGGGCATTTCAAACTCAGTTCTTGTACAGCACTAATTTTAAACTGCTTCTTTTGTAGATTATAGATCCTAGCCAGATTTTGGAAGGGATCAACTTATCCAAAAGAAAAGAACTACAGTGGCCAGATGAAATGATAAGACTAAGAGCTGGAAGAAACAGCTGGAAAGACTGGAGTCCTCAGGAAGGCATGGAAGGCCATGTAAGTTTCATTCCTCAACAGCCTTTGATATTGGCATCCTCAGAAATTATATTGAATGTATGTGAATTCAAAAAGTGGAGCAGAGCGTCAATTCTACAAATTCTAAATTATAATAATTATAAGGGAATATACATAATACTGTCTCTACATTATGAGTTCTGGAAGCCTTAACTTTTTAAAAACAACAACTTAAGGCCCAATCAATTCTGCACAAAGTTTCTTGGAAGGTAAGAGCACAGGATAGTAAATCCATATGAGGCAAATATACATAAAGAATTGCACTACAGGTAGTTCTCAACTTATGTCCATTTGTTCAGTGACTGTTCAAAGTTATGACAGTGCTGAAAAAATGGACTTATGATTGGTTCCCGAAGTTATGGCTGTTGCAGTGCCCCCACGGTGACATGATCAAAATTCAGGTGCTTGGCAGCCCGCCTGCACTTACCACCGCAGTGGTGCTTCAGCTCCCCACATCCACCTCTCTCCCTCCATCTCTGCCCTTTTGGCTGTCCTCCACCCTGCCTTGCAGGGCCACAAGCAGCCCCAGAACTGCACAACTCTGGGGCTGCTTGCCACACTGTAGCTCACGGGCTTCTTGGCACCCCATGGTTCTGGGGCTGCAAGAAGCCCATGAGCTACAGCGCAGTGTGAAGCTGCAGTCGTCCCTGGAAGCCTAAGCTGCCCCAGCCTGCGCCAGCAAGCTGCAGTGCCCAGGAAGCCCCAGCAAGCATTCATTTGCCCATCTGCGTTCTCTCCCAGTTCCCCGCATCAACCTTTCGCCTTTTGCGCCCATCCGGCAAATGTTTCCTACATCCCCTGAGCCTTTGGAAAGCTGCACTGCCTTCTGAAATCTGCACTGCCTTCAGAAAGACGGTCCAGCTTTCTGAGGGCTTTCCAATTGGACGAAACTGTTTCTGGTCTTCTCCATTGGCTGGCATTCTTATTTGCACCATGCTGCTGGGCCAGGATGGGGAACCACGTGTAGGAAACATTCACTGGAGAAGCTGGATCCAAAAAGGAGACAGCAAAGGCAGCGAGGCATTTCTGCTTTGGCCACAGCGGCTAGGCGCAAAAGGCAAAAAGTTGGTGTGGGAAACTGGGAGAGAAGGCAGCTGGGTGAATGAATGCTTGCTGGGCAAGCTGGGCAGCTGAGGCTTCCAGTGGTGGCTAGAGCTTCACACCGCGCTGCAGCTCAGGCTTCTTGCAGCCCCAGAGCTATGGCGCGTCAAGAAGCCCCTGAGCCACAAGGCAAGGCGCAGGACAGCCAAAAGGGCAGAGATGAGGGGGGAGATAGGCAGGTGGGGGATTTGGAGGCAGTCCGTCACCTTACTGAGGCTTGGGGCTGGGAGTTACCAAGCCTGGAATGGCTTGGCTTGGGGTGGGTCCTCAAGTAATGACCAGTGAAATTCACTTAATGATGGCAAGGGGGATTGCAGGGATTGCCATCACTAAGCGATGCAGTCATGTGACATCTCACTTTATAACCGCATCGCTTAGTGATGGAAGTTCAGGTCCCAATTGTGGTCATAAGTTGAGGTCTACCTGTATTTACCAAAGTATGACTTATCCTGTTCCCTTGTTTCAGTTCTGAGTGCTTTCTAGAAGGTATTCTCCCCTGTGAAATATAGGAATATTTCTATTATTATTTTATTCCCAGTATTATAGTAGAAAAAAATTCCAAGTTCTAGTGTTACTGCCTGAATATGTTTTCATTGCTTGCTCCCCCTGCTAGGTGATTCACCGTTGGGTGCCTTGCAGCAGAGATCCAGGGCATAGGTCCCATATAGACAAAACCATCTTGCTCGTCCAAATTGAAGACAAATATGTTGCAGTGATTGAAACTGGAGTTCTGGAACTTGGGGCTGAAGTGTGACCTTCTTGGGCAATTAACTTCTTGTCCATCTCTAAAATGTTTAGAAATTAAGTAAGGAGTCTCAGAAGGATACCCTAACAGCTCAAGTAATAGGAAGAGACTTGAAAACCAAGTTAAGGGTAGGGTGTCAGCCTCCAAAACAATAAAGGAGGCATTTTGGATATTTTTCAAGTTAGCTACTGAGGAAAATATTGTGCATGAAGGGTAAACAGGATATATCTTTTGCTTTATACATTATTTTATCCATTGCAATGCTTTAAAAGAACCCCACATTTTCCAAGTTTTAAAATAGGAGCATCTCATTTTTCTAATTGTCTTGCCAAAAATGTTTTGTCTCAGTAATGTAGATTCAGTTCATTTTTTTAAAGCAACTGAAAACTGTATAAATGTTGAGATCAGTGTGAAGCTGAATAGAATGTTTTATTAATTGCAAGTGTGACCAGATTTAAAAATTGTTATTTCTTCTAAGTGGAAAAAAGATCATTGAGAAAACTGCACTATTTTTTTTATGGCAATGCACTACAAAAATCTGAGATTGCTCAGAACATTTATTTATATATATATATATAAATAGAATATGTATATAAATATATAAAAAGAAGAAAATACCATTATTTAAATTGCCTTTGGGATTAACCACCTCCTCCTCCATATTCATATGATGGTAGGAAGTATCATTGATTCATTTTTGGCTTAACATACTACGTTGCTCAGCAGCATATTTATTATGTCCTATTCACAATATATAATGGAGTACCACTAATTATAGATGAAAACTCTAGGGAGGCCTGCTCTTGGTGAAGCAAATTGATAGTGCAAATATGCAGTAATGTTATCTTTTTAAAATGGGCTCAACAATACAATTGTGCATTTTCTTCATCTACTTTTGTTACTTTCCAATATAGAGACAACAAAAATATGTTACTGGTCTCCTTTGGAAAAAAAGTTTGCTTTTCTTTTTATGGAAAACTGGATGAAATACATTGTTTTAAATAAGGTTGTGACTTTATCTCTGTGTTGCGACTTACTCCTTTATTAGGTGAAATAATTTTACTTTATTAAAAATTAAAGGACAAAAATCAGAAGGCATGTTGTATCATATTACCTGTACCATTTTGCGTTTTAGCTCCCTTTAGTTGCTATTATGTTCTGTGACTTGAATTTATTTTCAGTAGTTATATATTCTATAATAACTGTACTTTGCATATAACTGTGAAACTGATTTATGTTGCATATCATCGATTTTTACTGATTGGGATTTGTAGTGTGTGTTTTCAGGGAAACGAGTTATTCAAACAGCAACAGAGTAAGGGGACAAAGCTGCAATTTTTTAACTTGCTGTTTCTATGACTTGCTCACAATGTTAATGGAAAGTTTTATATGTAGTGGTTGTTTCCTTTGTGTGATCTGAAAGTCTGTGGGGCTCAGTGGGAAACAGAACAATTTACAATTGTAGCTTTTAGAAGCAGCCATCTTTTGTTTTTGAACTATTCCAATATTTATTATGCACAGGTGATCTTACACGGAAGACATTGCAGTGAAATCAAAACTATTACATACTTAACGAACATAGTCAAATAATGTCATAACATGAACAATCTGATACCACGAAAAACAGTCTTTGTGGCTTGCTAAGTACTGTAGAACATGAAAATGCTGTTCTTACTGTATTATGATCTTGACCAGGTCACACTTTGCAAAGCTGTTCACTGCTGCAATTAATTCTTGCTAGCATCAGAAACCACTAACTTAGAAATGGACAGGGAAGGGGGAAGCAGCATGAATAATAAAATGTAGAAAGAAGCTTCAGAAAGATTTTGCTGTTCTGGTAAAATGTACATCACCTGCTAATATCTGAATGCCTCCAGTTTAATCCCTGACACTATAATATTTTCATTATTTTATAAACAAGAGAAAAGTCATTTTATGAGTTTTGGCCAGCCATCTTTCTTCACTTTTAATTGACAATTAAATATTCATTTATCTTCTTGACTTTCCCAAATATAGAAAGAAAATGCAATCTACCTTAAATTAGTAATTTTGAATATATTAAATTTATTGATAAAAAGGGTGCTTTTAAAGGTTATCTTGAATAAGGCAATGAACATGGTAATATGGAAAGTTAGATTTTTCTAAGATTTTTATTTCCTATTTTTAATCATTAATAGGAACAAAAATGGCACTCTGTGACATAGGATACTACATGCTACTGATTACATTTGTAACTAAAAACGGATATTGAAAGAGATGATAATTTCAAGGCTTCTGATATGATTACATGTAGATTCATTTAGAATGGTAAATTTAGTTTAAATAATTGAAAACAAATTACTTGATTAGCATAATTTCAATCATACCTTTGTTAGGTATAAATCTCATCTAATTAGCATTCATGAAAATATATATCCAGATTTATTTTCAGTTTAAGCTCATCTCTCAAGAATTTGACGTTCCTTTGTGTACGATTAACTGTTTAGCGTTCATGAAACTTTTCTCTTTGCTTGTTGTAGTATATGAGCTTGGAAGCCAAATTAATTGTTTTGCAGCTTTTCATATGTGGACTTGGTGGCTTTCTCCATCAATTTCTCCAACCAGTTATGGCAAGCATTCTGAAAACTTTACAGATTTTTTTGCATTTGATACTAAGTCTTGTACAAAACTAGTAATCCACTGAATGAATTTCTAGGCTAAGCTTTGATAATATTTATGTAGAAAGAGTTTATGAAAGTCAGTTTGCCTACTATCAATGTTTATAAATATATGCATAATAAACTGATAATCCAACTAGGCACTAATTTAATGTAAAAACACAGAAGTATACTTAGCTTCCCTGTTAATGTTTTGGGAAATTAAAGGAGAAATTTACCTCATGAAGTGCTTTAATTTTCATAAAGAACACAACCCTACTCTTGCTCAGTATTGAGGTGGTGTTCTGTAGATGTTCTTGTAACCTAGGAAATATATATGGAGGGAAGGAAAATGTTTTTGGAAAATGACATCTTTTAGAAGGTTTTGTTTTTTTTAATTGTTGCTTTTTCTACCTAGGCTTGCTGTTGGGGAACTAGTAGTTGCAATGTTGTGTGAAAATATTGAATAGATGGTACAGAATGTTATGGAAAAGGCCTTTGAAACCTTGGATTTGGGGCCAAATTTTACCCAAGCTGGCAGTGAAATGCCTTCTTAACCGATGAGATAACACAGTGATGCCAATCCTTTAGTTCTACACATTGGTAAGTGGTAATAACTCTACCAATGGAGTAGTGCATTTGAAAGAGCTTTTCAAGGCATACCTAAATATTTCATATTACCTGTAGGTTCAGCCACCATGGTTTTATGTACCTAATTTTATTAAGAGAGATTTTTCTTACCTATTATATAGGTTCTACTTGTCTGGTCTTACTTGGTGATTGGTAACCTAATGCCATTAGCCCTGCGATGCTAGACAGTGTAAGAATTATAGCAGTATTTAATATGTGCCTTAGTAAAATGATGGTGAGTACATAAGACCTTGGTGGGAACTACTGCCCATATCTAGTTTTCACCCAGATTTTTTAAAAGGCTTTTAAAAAGATGGCTGCTCCAAAAGGCTTCATAGATTTGTATGCACCATTCATCAGCAAACAAATTTGAAAATACAATTTAGACATTTCTACTAAATTTACACATGACCCAAGTGGATGACAAAAGTCACAAAGATTAAAAGTCAAACTTGTTAGGATCTTTATGAAACTTAGCCAGACAATGAACTGCTTATTATTACATTAAATAGATGGAGGGAAAAAATACAAGTTGGAAAATGAAATATGTGCTTTGCATTTACCAGCATATAGAGAACTTGCCAGGGATAGGGTTATGTGTATTTTGTATGTGTCAGTGAGAGTATGAGCGCGTGGGTGCGTGTATGTTGTTTGAAACAGCCTGTAAATATTGTCGCTGTTTAAAATTGGGAAAAGTTGAGGGAATTTGTTTGCAACATGTTGCTTTAAAAAGGACAGTATTGACAGTGAAGAAATAATGAAATTTAAAAAAAAAATCCTCTTGTTGTCCCTTGTTTTATTTTCACATTTAGTTTTTCACATCTAAGACTTTTGAACAACTACGTATAGATGTATGTTTCATGACTCTTTTTCCCTTGAAGAATAATGGTGAAAAATGTTCTGGTTGATACACCTTCTCTTCTGTTCTTTGAACAGAAATAACTTCATGTATGCTTCCATTGCTAAACTCCAAAGCTTCATTTACTGGAAAGTTTTGCTTCAATATTTTGCATTTTTACCAGCTGTGCATTTTATTATACTGATGCTATACTTTAGCTCCTGCTATTATCATCATTCTCCTCATTATCATTCCATGATAAATTTCAGCAGGGCATATCCCCTTCTTTCTAACCCCCCCCCTGCAAAATCTGACATTGATCTTATATAAGATTATAGTAATATTCAGTAACACTTAACACATATATTTACTGAGTAAGATCACTTGACCAATATTTATTGTGTAATTAGAGATCCTCTGATAGTGACCTTTTCTAGCAGCGGTTGTATTGGAGCTCTTGAGATCTTCAGCATGCAGCATTTTGAATTATGACTGAAACTATGAGGAGTATGTGGATTTGAGAAACATGTCTGAAGAAATAAAGTGGAGGCAACCCTAATTCAGTATGAGAAACATGACTTAGCATACAGGAAGATTCAAAGTCAAGCATTCAAAACCTGGAGAGATGTCTTAGTTTGCTTTTTATCATTCTTTTTGTCCTGTCTATAAGGATATTTGCAGATTTATAAAAAATAAAAATAAAACCAGACAAACCAAGGAATAATGATTGCTTATGGGCCTATATTGAATCTCTGATTAAATTAAGATTTGATCCAGAGACTTTCCAGATTCTCATTCTTACCTGCTAGATCATTCTTCTTCAACAGATGGTCTCCAGAGGTTTTGATTACAATTCTGAAGATAATTTAAGGAGCTTGTGCTGGCAAGTGAAATTTCAGGAAAGAATGTTAGATATAAGAGAGGAAAGGCAAGACATTTTAGAAATTGTTGTATAGTCAGAACAATGAAAGAAGTGAATAATTCTGGAATAGAAATGAGCTAATGGAAGATGTGAGAGAGAAGTTTGTGCTAGATGAAGATGAGGGATGAAGACCAGTATTTTAATAGAGAAACTGATGGGATCTGTCAGTACAACACACTTTGGAGTACAAAGAAGAGGGAAGAATTACGATGTGTAAGAAGTAAAAAGGGAAGATAGACTGATTAGGATAGAATGGGAAATGCTAGGAGTGAAGACAACAGTGTCAAAAAGGGGGTTATACAATGAATAATGAATAATACATTTATGTAAATTGGGGGGATGAAAATGAGCCAAGGCTTGTAAATCATTTGCCATAAGAAATGTCAAAACTATAATTTCATATCCACGTGCTTTTGTTCTATCTATCAGCCAGAATAGGTCATTTTATATTGATGAAGCTGTATCCTGCAAATTTAACAAAAATCAAAAGCCACAGCAGTTCTTGGGAATATTTTGAGAATGTTTTCTATCACATTTTGATGGGAAAAAGTACCTTTTGGGGAAGATAATTTGGTTAAATCTAAAGGTTCATAAAAACAAGGTGAGCATATTCAAAAGTACTGTAATGGGCCATGTTAAAAATAAAAATTACTGACGTGGTTGGTTAAAGGTTTGTTTAATGGTGATTTTTTACTAAGAGTGAGCATTTATTTTGATCCATCTAGTCTATAGATTTATATCAAGCCTTTCTTCTAGGAGCTCACTGTAGTATACATACTACTATAATTTTTCCCACTGTAATAACTCTGCCAGGTAGATGGGGCTAAATAGTCCAAAGTGCCCACTGAGCTTCCATGACTAAGGTAGGCCTTGAGCATGGTCTCCATAATCCCAGTCTAGTATCTTAATAAGTATATCACATTGGCGCTGGATTTGGCCACACCATCACCAGAATGAACTGATTTGGAGGGCATATAATTTGGAAAGAATTTGGAAAATGCTGGAGTTTGTCTCTGTTGTTGAATATTCCCCCTCTTTCATCCATCCTTGTTATGTTGTGCTTTCTATGATTTGGTACCTTTTGAGCAGAAAACAAACCTCTTCTGATTTACCAAAGTTCTCTAGTTTTGGAGGGAAAGGAATGAAGTTAGTGAAGCAGCAGCCAGCATTTCCCATGCCAGAGAAAACCATTATGCCAATAATGATCAGGTGCCTTCTGTGGCCATCTAGAGAACTGCCAAGTTGTTCATTGATTTAGAAAGGTAGGAGGAAAAAGGGTAGAATTGAAAACCAGGAGCATGGTCTTCTATGAGGGCCTTGATTTCTTTGTCCTAGAGTGGACAAATCTTCCCTATGTTTATGGCTTTATTTCTCTTTGCAATAAAGAGACCAATCTTGCTGAATCACATGTAAGACTTCTGCCAAGTAAGTCAGTTTCTGAATAAGATTTTAAGTGTCTGCATATCTGATATTTATGGCCATGCCTATGTGAAGCCTGCCGTCTTGGCTAAGATATTCCTGTGATGTATACATAGTTTGTACAAATTACCACACGTGCATGCATACACTTTAAAAGAACAACCAGGGATTAAAGAAAAGTAGTTCACACACAAACCAAATTTGAAGTCTCCCTGTTCACAAAAATGATAACATCTCGTTTTATGAACGTTTACAGACTTTTGGTTAGGGCCATTTGTATACTATTATCAATTTTGTGGCAGCTGCCCACAAAATACAAAGCGCATTTTTTCTGGAAACCTCTAAAAAGGCTCTTTAAAACAAAAAATCTGAACATTTTAATCTAAAACTTTTTGTTGTTCAGTCGTTAAGTCGTGTCCGACTCTTCGTGACCCCATGAACCATATCGCGCCAGGCCTTCCTGTCC